TGGTCCAGATCCTCCATCTCTAACTCTAGTCCAGATCCCCATCTCTAACTCTAGTCCAGATCCCTCATCTCTAACTCTAGTTCCAGATCCTCCATCTCTAGTCTGGATCCTCCATCTCTGGTCCAGATCCCCCATCTCTTGTCCAGTTCTTTTTGTTTTTAACTTTTTTTTTTAATAGTCTCCACACCCAGTGTGGGGCTTGAACTCACGGCCCTGAGATCGAGTTGCATGCTCTACTGACTTCCACCCAGTGCCACAGGGACTGTGATGGAGGATGTGACACCACCCCAAGGCGGACACAGTTTAGAGGGGAAAAGGGGAGCAACTCAGTTATCCCCTTATCCTAAGTCTGGAACCAGGGGATTTCACAAAGAGGCAGGACCTCTCCCAACACAAGGAGAGTGTGAAGAGTGACCCACAGATGCCTGTGAGTGAGGGGAGGGCCATCCAGAGCCTGGGAGGAAGGTTTCGGTGGGGGAGGACTTTGGGCAGTGGGAAGAGAAGGCTGGAGTCCCAGCCAGTGCCCATCTTGGAGCCCGTGCCCTCAGTGAGCACAAACTCTAGCCTCCCTTGGAGGACATGGCGGAAGACGAGACAGATCCAGGGACCACGGGAGGGTGCCGGTGGTGGTAGGGAGTCCATGACACTTCCTGGCTTGTCTTGTAGCCAGTTCATTGCACAGTAGAAAAACGTATAAATAGCACATCTAACGATCACTACAGATGTGTATTTCTTAAGGTGAGGCCAGAGTAGATAATAAGATTTTAAAAATTAGTCAATGTAAAATAATTGTTAGGATTGGGGGATACATGGTGTTTTAGAAACTGCAGAGGCTGGGAGCGGGTGGGGCGGGGAGGCTGATGAGGCCTGGAAGGCTGGCGGGGCCGGCCCCGGCTGGTATGCTTCCCTCAGCAGGCAGACGAAATACCTGGGAGCAGAGGGTGACCGGGCCAGGACTGCCTGGGGCTCGGGGCACCCTGCACCCCATCTCCTCCAGGGGCCGTGCCCTGGTTGCAGAAGGTCAGCATCTCCCACACCCAGCTGCCTCAGGTGACAGAGCGAGGCTGCCTGCTTTTCACTTTCCTTTTGCTCGTCAACACACACACACCCTCTCAAAGTCCAGGGAGGGCAGGTCACCTTCGCTGAGGTGACCAACTCTCCATGTCGCCTGGTCCAAGTGAGGACCAGAAGGGAGACCCTGGGCAGGGAGGCCGCTCAGGTCCACAGAGACTGATCACCTGCTGCATGCAGAGCATGTCTGCGGGCCTGAGGGGATCACAGAGAGGGTGCGTGTGCTCACGTGCGCCTGTGTGTGTTGGGGGGGGTGCGGCTGTGTCTCAGGGGGCCGGGGAGCCTGCGTGGGATCACAGAAGACCCCACAGAGACGGCCCTGGCTCTGCGTGGAGTGAGGCCCTGGTGCAGGATTGTGAAACAGCCCGTTCATTTGTTTATTCTCAGTCAACATCCCCACAGTTTACTTGGAACTCGAAACATGCCCCTAAGTTTACTGAGAAGGATAAATATCCGGCAATGGTCAGGACAATGGCGTGATGAGGGAGGTTTTGAGGGGAAGGGCCTCGTTCCGAGTACTGCAGACCCGTGGGTATCTCCTGCCTTTCCTGCTAAGTCCTGAGGTCGCGCCTGACGCCTGGGGTGGAAATACACGCATGTCTGGACGGAGGGCGCAGAGGCACGTCCGCTGGGCA